AAAAAAAAAAAAAAACTATATAAGTATGTCAAATTTAGTAGAGGATGCTTCGTGCTTGATACAAAATATCTACAAAAAATCTATATATTTTTTATTTATTTTTTTTAAGTTTTTTAACTCACTGCACTGTAATTAATATTATCAATATAATTGAATAATATTGGTAACACAAAACTCCTCGACCGGCTGGAACTTGAGTAATCGCCTTCCTTCTCGCCGGTTGAACGTCGTGTACCTACAAAGAACTCTCACACCGGAGGGGTTTTCCGGTGAAGAGCCTCCGATGCTTAAGTCAGTGTATATTCAATCAATTCTCTAGAGTAATAGAATGATCGTGTTGAAGAAGAAAAGCTCACCCCTTTTATATAGAGGTGAGATACCTGACCTAGGGCTGCCCGGATTTGATGAGCTGTCTGCCCTAACTGCCCGTCCGTACGCACCAAACGCGTGTGTCAGAGGTAGCCGTCGCCACTATCACCTGCACCAATCCCCTTTGGACGCGTGTCCTCCTGCACATGGGATATGCTGTCAGATGTGGTTATCGCTATCCTCCACTGCTTTCCCGACACGTGTCCCCCTGCACATGGGGTAAATATTCTCCTGGAATTCTGTCAGAGGCTTCCTTCACGCGCCCGTGACTAGGCCGAATAGCGTGGTGTTAAGCCCTCGAAGTAGTCGACCTGATGAGGTCGAATAAATTGCTCGATCGCGTATCTGGTCGAAGGATAGTTCGGTCGACAGCCTTGCTTGGTCGACTAGTTAATTGCTCAACTCCTTTGGCTTCCTCATAATATGACCTCCTCGACTGGTCAACAGACCGGTTCAGCCTTGTGGGTATAATATCCCATATCAAATATCAATTAATCCTTCATAGACATCACGTCAATTTTAATTCACTATTCATCTACTTACATAATTTTAACTAATTATCACTCCAAATCTTCTCTCTCTTACTTTTACATCAAATCAATTTTAATCATATTTGAAAATTGATTTAAGTCTCTTCTCCCTTTTTCCTTTCCGCTCATTATGTCTTTTTCGTCTTCTTGTGTTTGCATTATATTATGTAGTAAAATTTAATTTATTTGAATACATTTATTCGAGATAATAATTGCTTGTGTTAGACTTCCATTGGAATATTTAGTATGCGGTTGAATTTATTGATTTTGCAGTATATACTTTTTTATTTATTTTTGAAATGAATGGAATTTGAATATATAAAAAATTTAGTGTCAAGTCTCATTTATTTATGTGGTATATTCAAAGAAATGATATAAGAACCTTAAATGAATGTCATACAACAAGAATAAAGCGGTTAGTATACCGTCTCATGGTGGTCATTTTAAAAAATATATTATTTTTTAATTAAAGTTCAAGTATATGAGAAAATATATCTTTCTATTTAAAAAATAATTAATTAATTAATTAATTAAAAATTATGATTTGTAGAGAGTAGTTAATATAATTCACAAGTTTTTTTAGGAGGTCCATATAATTAATTTTTATTCTACAAACATAATATTCATAATTTAATATTATTTGATGCGTAATCATGTAAGTTATATTAATACTTCAAAATCATTTTTATACTTTTATATTCTTTTATATATGTGTCTATCTCTATATTATCCGAGTTAAATGCTTCATTAACTTTTATATATGTGTCTATCTCTATATTATCCGAGTTAAATGCTTCATGTTTAAGTTCGTGTTCATTCAATAAATTAGCTACCCTGATTAAATTTGTTTAATTAACAAACATAAGTATGAGCCCGAGTTCGAATTATTTAAACTTGATTCGTTTAATAAACTTTTAAATCTCCAAAATTCAAAATCTAAACGAGTCAATCACAAACACGTTCAATACAACTTGTTTGATAGAAAAACTTGATTAGTTGTTTGACTTTAGCTCGTTTAAATATACAGTGAGTTGAGTATGACCTTTCACAAGTCGAATCGAGCTATGTTACCGATAGTGTTGTTAAATTAAACGAGCCTGACTCGACTCGTTAAGGCTCGAGTTCAGCTCGACTCGTTTATCATGGAACTTCTCTGATAAATGAACTGAGTTCGAGCTCCAGTTTATTGAAAGCTCTTTTGGTTAATGGGCTCATCTCGACTCGGCTTAGCTCGACTCGACAAAGCTTGTTAAAGCTCAGAAATAGAATTTTTATATAATTTTCTATAGTTCAGCTCGTAAAAGCTCGAGGTCGGCACGTTAAGGCTCATACTTGAAATGTTATTATTGATAAATTAGTCGAGCTCAATTTCATGCTCGTTTATTTAACGAGCCAAGCTGGCTCGGCTCGTTAAAGGCTCGAGCTCGAACTTGAGCACCCTAAGCTCGAGCTCGGCTCGGCTTGACTCGTTTACAGGCCTAGTCATCGGACATTCAGTTTGCATGTATTACAGCCTATGATGAAAAAATTTCTGGCTACGCCTCTACTTAATCATGCTTTTTTTTTTTTTTTTTTAACACTTCTTCAATCCACCTGTAGGGTCGTTCAAACAAGCGAGTAGCAAGTTCAAAAGTCTTAGTCATGCTGAAGTTTTGACTCCCGAACTCGATCACAATCCTCCTCTCATGATTGATCAGCCAGCCCGAAGGCATTAATAAGACTGAATCTTTTGTTGACACCTTGTTTGCTAGTCAATGAGGTCACGTTTAACGATGATGATAGATACATAAATTACATAGAAAAGGAAAAAAAAAAAAAATCAAGCATATAACATTACCCCATAAGGGTGTCTCCAATTGTTAGCTATTTGGCTAGCTATTATGACGTGGACAAGGGAAAAGTAAGAGAGAGAGTAGTCACTAGCTACTAACAAATAGCTTATCTATTTCACGTAACCCAAGATCATGTGAGAGGAGTATGTGGGTCCAATAGTGTAAAATAGTCATTTTTCTTATCTCTCACATCCACGTCAGCTGACTATATAGCTAGTAATAGCTATTACCATTGGAGATGCCCTAAGAACACACGGTTTTAAGAAACTTTGCATTTATATGGATGGAATAATAAATACACAAATGATCTATATTAAAAAATACTGATTTAATGGAACGAAAAAAAATTATGAATTCCAAAAAATCAGAATAAACTATATCATTATTTTTTTTTTTTCGAAACGATAGGATATATATTATTTATTCATCACAATATTATTTATTCATTTATCTCTACTATACATATAACCAAATAACTTTAGGCATTTCTGGTGCTGACACGTGTCCTTTTTGGACACAAAAGCCATTTCTTTTGTTATTTTTTTACCACCTCTGCCACTAGACTTTATGCGAAAAAAAAGACGGCATTATCTCACAATCCGTCATTCTCATTTCTTCTCCCTTCAAACCCTACCCGTCGCCATTCTTTGTTGTGTGTTCCTTTATTTGAGGCTTTGAGCAGATTTCTTTTCTTCCGGAGATCGCGCAGAAAATCAGTTTCAAGCTTTCTATTACTTTTTCTTCTTTCTCGAAAATCACTCGCTCTTCGTTGTTACATTTTCTTCCTTCCGCCATTATTGTGCTTTCTTTTACCTTTTCTTATTTCCATGTTACAGATAGGAAAAAATCGAGGCGAGTTCCATGATTCTCCCTCGTATATTGATGGATTATATTAAGTACAGTTTTTATTTATTTATTTATTTCTCTAGGGTTTGGATTTGGAGATTAGAAAGCTTGAAGAAGGTGTTGACTCCATCCATCAGAATATGATTTCTATGATGCATAGGTAAATTCAAGATTCATATGAATTGAATATCAATTACCTTTGGTTTTTGTTCGAGAAGTATTGAGAAACCATCATTTACGCAGATGTTGTAGACTGCACAACTGGGGTTAGTGAGGAAGTTTTAGCCTTCACGAGGGATATCGCGCATCACCCGGAGACCTGGTTGGATTTTCCGTTTCTGGAAGAAGATGAGTTTGACGGTGAGGGAGATTTTGAGTTTCTGAATTTCGTTTATCTCTTTTCATTTTGGTTGTGAATTCATATGATTTTGGCCCTACTTGTTTGAATTTGCGGAGGACTATTTATTTATGCTTTCTGAATTTTCACACGCTTATAGATTCCATAAATCTATGTGAAAGTGATGTAGAGGTAGTGAAAAGATTGTCTTTGTTCTACCTCGGAAAATGGATGTCGACATTGCATGTTAGAAGAAAAAGGTTTTTCCTTATGATATAATCTTTTGGTGAGTTCTTTTCCCTGAAAAAGAGGAGTTAAGTTGGTGCATTGTGTGCTGTGAAGCGGGTCTGTAGTTGTAGTATTATATTGTGGTGATTTCAGTCTAATTCCCATCTTCCCTTTTTGTTGTTCCGTTTGATCCAGATTTCGATATATCTGCTGCACAGTACAAGCATGCTTTGGCGGTCGGACATCTAGCACCAAGATTAGCTGCTCTAAGAATCGAGTTATGTCCGGTTCACATGAGTGAGGGCTACTTTTGGATGGTCTATTTTGTTCTTCTGCATTCAAGGTTAAGTAAACATGATGCTAGCATGTTGTCCTCATTGCAGGTCAGTGAGTAATTAACATCGAGAGTTCATATCTGTTTTGTACCCATCTGAATATCATTATCATGTATAATTGTTCATTACAAGATTTTGATGCTCAATAATTTTCAGATTAAGGAAATCTGGGATCAGCACGTATGATATCACGATTGACGACTATGGCTGGTCCATATGGGATTTCAGCTTAAT